TGACCACCTCAGCCCGGTTGTGACCACCTCAGCCCGGCTATGGCCACCTCAGCCCGGCTCCGGCCCGCTCCGCCGCGGTTCCCAGCCGGGCCCGTTCCCCGCTCCCCTCACGCCGCCCTCGCCCGCCATTCCCGTCCCTCACGTCCCTCCCTCCGCCCGTCCCCGCCCCTGCCCGCTGCTCCTGCCCGGTTCCCCCGCTCGGTTCCCGGTACCTGCCGCCGCGCCGCCTCCGCGTCCCGGTAATACTTGACAGCCACGATGGCGGCCAGCAGCGCCAGGAGAAGCGCCAGGCGCGGAGGAGCCGCCCCGGAGCCCGGCCCCGCCATCGCAGCAGCCCCGCGCCGCGGAGCCGCCATGGCCGCCCGGCCGGGGGACGCGTCACGGGCGAGGAGGAGCCGCGGGATCCGCCAAAAAAAAAACCCTTTTTGTGTTAAAACACCCCGCCACTGAACGCGGGGTTAGTGTAAAATCACCGGCAGCCGCTTAGGGGAGAGCGTTTTAGTGTTAAATTAGTGATACTCGGTCAGGGAAAGGTTTGTTTTAGTGTTAAATGAGCGGTACCCGGTCAGGGGAAAATCCTTATTAGTGTTCAGTGACCGTCATCCGGTCAGGAAAAACCGCTTTTTAGTGTTAATGAGCAATATTCGGTCAGGAAAATACACGTGTAAGGGTTAAATGAGCAGCGCTCAGTCAGGAAAAAACACTTTTTAGCCTGAAAGTGTCCGCTGTGGGGATTTTAGAGCGATGAAGCCCCTCCTCTTCCTCAGGGTTCTCGTTGTTCTTCAAGGGCTTTGTGTTTATTATCGATGGGAGAGACGGGAGTGTGTCCATTGTGTCCATCCCCGCATTCCCACAGCGGCCTTTGGTCCGAAATCCCGCTTTTCCCCGAAAGAACAAAACCCTGAACTTGTTTTGCAGTTCCCCAAACCAGCCATACCCTGCACTTGGACTTGGTTTCATTTCACTAAAATAGTGGTTTTTTTTAACAAAGCAGGTATTAGCGGGCTCACTGGCGGCGGTTTGATGGGATTTCCCATTCCCGGGGATGGTTAATTCGGCAGCCCAGGGGTGACAAAGCTCAGCCCCATCACCAACACCATCCCCAAATTTTGGGGCATTTCCATCCCCAAATTTTGGGGCATTTCCATCCCAAACTTTTCGATCTGTCCGTTCTCTCCGTGCCCTTCAGGTCCCTCCACTGTGGCACTGCTGTCACGCTGAGCGGCGGCTGGGCCGAAACACACGGATTTACTCATTTTAATGAATATTAAAATAAAAACTCTGCCTCCTGCTCCTCGGTGTTCCCAATATCGTTCCGGATCCCGATTTTTGGGGAAGGTTTAGCGGCGCTCGCTGCCGCAGGGCCAACAGCACCGAGCGTTTGATCTCTCCCAGGGCAGGGGAAGCGTCAGCYTTTAATCCTTTGAAGCTCTGCTGCCTCCTAAGCCTGCCTAATCGTTTTTGTTTTAGGTTTAAACGGCTCTTGAGAGGGAGATGAGGGAGAGCATGGCCAAGGCATGAAGAGAGGATGAGGATGAGGATGAGGATGGGACTGGGCAGAGAAGCTCGTCCATCACATCCCAAACAATCACATCAAGAGATCAGATCAGAACCTATGTGGGAAAACACTCCGGCTGCCAGGCTTTTGAATTCAATAACCAATTCTGCTGAAAGCCTTCCCAGGGAATTTAATAATGCTGTAAAAATGAAGTGTGGGTTACAAAAAAAGATGCATTTGTTTTCTGGATGGTTTTGTCTTATCTCTGKGCAGGCCAGGCAACAGCAGCCCGTGGTTGTGCAAGTGATAGGGAAGAGTTTTCATCTCCACCACTAATGCAAGTTTCTCTTATCAGAACTTCATTTACAGGAAATTCCTTCTGATTCAAAGGAGGGCCACAAGCTCTGATGGTGAAAATTAAGATGGCAATCACAGCTTCTGAAGTAGAAGTTGAATGTTCCTGGGGAAATGGGCAATAACCCAGACTGGTGGCATTACCTGGTAGTTCCAGGCAGGAAAAAACCACCAAAAAGCAACAACAGAATTCCCAAATACCTGAGAGYGAAGGACAGGAAAGCAGCTGAAGGACACACAAGAATGAGGCATTTAAAGCCAAACTTCAGGTTCAGTGGAACTCCATAAACTCACCAAACCAAGGAGCTCCCTCTGGGCAGGAAAATCCCACCTGGAGGAGGAATTTGGGGTGGAATTTGGAGGCAGGGCTCCCATGTGAGGAGGAGCAGCAGCATTTCAGGAACCTGCAGGACAAACATCCCCATCACCTGCACTGCTGCGGAACAGGAAAATCCCCGCTCAGGGGTGGCTCAGAGCCAGCCCGGGGAACAAAGCTGATCCTTGGAGCAAATCTTCACTCCTGCTGAACACAGCCASGCTGAGCTTGATTCCTGTGATTAATCCCTGGCCCTGGGGATTGCAGGGGATATCTGGGAGCCCAAGGATTTGCAGAGCTGCACCATTGGAAATGTTCAAGTGCAACCAAAAGCTTCTGCTGTGCCTGGCACGGAGSCCCTGGAAGCAGAGTTATGGGTAAGCTTTGCCTCCCCAGGCCAGCTTAAACACCTCCTGATCTGTGATGGGGCCACTGAGCTGCAGGAAACTTCCTCTGCAAGGATTTGGGATGTTCCTGCTCCCTTGTGTGGAAGGGAAACCAACCGTGGAGTTCTGATGGAGCACCAGGGTCTGTCCCTAAAGGAAACCAGAGCTGAGCTGTTGATTTTGGAGGTTTGAATTCTGCCAGGCAAAGTGTTCCGAGTTACTGCAAGAGCAGGGTGYTTTCATTTAAGAAATTCCCTTAATCCATTATCAAAATCCTTTGAGCTACAAGAGCTTCCCGATCCCCAAATCTCCCAGATAACACAGCTCACTCCCAAGATGTTTATTTACCAATAACCATTCCTCTAGGCCAGGCTTACCAGGCAACATCTTTATCCCTGGGATAATGCTAAGTCCCCATCTGACAATCTTATTTCTCTCGGGGAATTACAAAGGCAGGAATTTAGAAACAACATTTTTCTGTTTTCACAACTTGCTCAAAGCAACTTTATTTCCCCCAAGCTGCTGAGAATGAAGCGACTGTCACGAGGATGTCACAAGAATGAACAAAAATGTTCCATCCCCAGGGRCCACAGAGCTTTGCAATCATTAGAGGGAATGCTGATCCCAGATCAGTTTAAGAGAGCTGGGAATTCCTGTCCAAATGATGCCTGGATTCCTCTAAAAATCAACTTCTACTGTGCAAAACTCTTTAAATCCACCAGCATTGTCTCATTYCAAAGCATGGTCATTTACAGGATTTTTTATTTTACAAGACTTTTATTCTGTTTCACAGATCTGACTATTACAGCAGTAAAATTATTACAAGTGACTCGTAACATTAAGTTCCAAATAAAAGTAGAAAAACACAAAAAAACCCATAAAAGGAAAGTTAAATGAGATGTGATGGGTGGTAAATGTGKTTTTTTAAGAGCACGGAATAAAGTATATAAAAATACATCAGGAGCAAGGATTCTGCAGAGAAGTTTTGGTTTAGTTACAARTTTGACACCACAGAGTCACAGAAGGGTTGAGGYTGGAGGGGAYCTCTGTGTCCCCCTGTCCCAAATCCTGTCCAGAGCTGTGTCCAGGCAGCTCCTGAAGATCTCTCCAAGGATGGAGACCCCACAGGCTCCTGGGCAGGTGTGGCAGGGTGGAACAAACATTTCCTGGTGTTCAGAGGGTCTCAGTTTGTGCCTGGTTCCTCCTCACACCCCCAGGATCCCCCTGAGCCTCCTCTCTCCACACTGGAGGGATGTTCCAGTCCTTTCCCCTTTGCTGGGCTCTSTCCTGGCCTGGGGAGCCCAGAGCTGGGCAGGATTCCTCAATGACTCTGCAATATTCTCAGCTCTGATCCCACAGGACCCTTCCAAGCAGATTTTTGGAGAGGCCCAA